CATAATGGGGAAAGGCTGTGCCACAGGGAAGGAGCCAGGAGATGGAGAGATGTGCAACGGGGAGCTGGGTAAGAGAGGAGACGTGCAATGAGGAGGGAGCTGTGCAATGGAGATTTGTGCTATGGAGCACTGAGAAATGGGGTGCTGTGCAATGGCACTCCTTGCAATGGGGCTCCGGGAGCTCAGCCAGAACATGCTTGTTGGCTGCATGCCCCCGCCAGGCCTGGACTCTGCCCTAGGCCAGGCTTTGCCCTAGGCTGGGCTCCGCCCTAGGCCAGGCTCCCGGCCCTGTTTCCGCTCCCACCCCGCTGTGCCTCGCGGGCTGTGGCCACAGGCCCTGGTGGAAACACACCTGGGGAGGTGGGTGGGGGTCACCCCGGCTGTGCCGCTTCACGGAACACTGCGCACAGCCGGAAAAACATGGCTCCACCGAGGAGCAGGGCTGGCAGGGGACACGCTGTGTGCCACCCGGCAACCTCTGAGCATCTCTGGGATGTCCATGCATCCACAAGGTGTCTGTGGGTATCCAGGATGTCTGTGTGTCCCCAAGATGTCTCTGTGTCCCAGGGACGTCCATTTGTCCATGGGATGTCTGTGTGTCCCACGGGTGTCTGTGTGTCTCTAAGATGTCTGTGCACCCCAGGGACTTCTCTCCACACCGTGGAGGTCCCATGAGTCCAGGTGATCCCTCATCTGTGCCAAAATACCGAAGTCCTGCGGACTGGGCATGTGGCCCCAGCACCCCCAGGCAGAGCTGCAGCTCCATGATACCACGAACACCCGCCATGACATGAGAGAACACCATGAGGACGCTCCAAGTTGCTGCAGTGACCGTCGGCTCCGCGGCGCCCCCAGCCCCGCCCCCCGTGAGCGGTTTGGGGCCCCATAAATCAGATGCGGGTTGGTGCGGTGGCGGAACGTTCGTGCGCGGAACGTTCGGACCGCCGCGCTGCGTTCGCCCGGAGCCGTCCGCGGGCGGAGCGGTCCCCCAGCGGAGCGGTCCCCCGGCGGCAGGTGAGGCCCGCGGGAGGCGGTGGGGCCGGGGCGGCCCCAAGGGGGTCCCGCAGGCTGCAGGGCCTGTGGCGGGGCCGCAGCGAGGCCGGTCCGTGCCCGCGGGACTTCGGAAATCGTGGGACGAGGGGTTTTCCTGCTGCTTCTGC